GCAAGAACAAGGGCCTAGCATGTGCAAAATATAAGAACAAGGCCTAGCGTGTGCAAAATAAAAAGAACAAGGGCCTAGCGTGTGCAAAATTGCAAGAACAAGGGCCTAGCGTGTGCAAAATTGCAAGACCAAGGGCCTAGCGAGTGCAAAATAGCAAGAGCAAGGGCCTATCGTGTGCAAAAAAACAAGAACAAGGGCCTTGTGTTCGCGAAATAGCAAGAAAAAGGGCCTAGCGTGTGCAAAATAAAAAGAACAAGGGTCTAGCATGTGCAAAATTGCAAGAACAAGGGCCTAGCGTGTGCAAAATAAAAAGAACATGGGCATAGCGTGTGCAAAATAAAAAGAACAAGGGCCTAGCGTGTGCAAAATAAAAAGAACAAGGGCCTAGCGTGTGCAAGATTGCAAGAACAAGGGCCTAGCGTGTGCAAAATTGCAAGAACAAGGGCCTAGCGAGTGCAAAATTGCAAGAGCAAGGGCCTAGCGTGTGCAAAAAATCAAGTACAAGGGCCTAGCGTTCGCGAAATAGCAAGAGCAAGGGCCTAGCGTGTGCAAAATAAAAAGAACAAGGGTCTAGCATGTGCAAAATTGCAAGAACAAGGGCCTAGTGTGTGCAAAATAAAAAGAGCAAGGGCATAGCGTGTGCAAGATAGCAAGAACAAGGGCCTAGCTTGTGCAACATAAAAAGAACAAGGGCCTAGCGTGTGCAAAATAAAAAGAAGAAGGGCCTAGCGTATGCAAAATTGCAAGAACAAGGGCCTAGCGTGTGCAAAATTGCAAGAACAAGGGCCTATCGAGTGCAAAATAGCAAGAGCAAGGGCCTAGCGTGTGCAAAAAATCAAGAACAAGGGCCTAGCGTTCGCGAAATAGCAAGAACAAGGGCCTAGCGTGTGCAAAATAAAAAGAACAAGGGTCTAGCATTTGCAAAATTGCAAGAACAAGGGCCTAGCATGTGCAAAATAAAAAGAACAAGGGCATAGCGTGTGCAAAATAGCAAGAACAAGGGCCTAGCGTGTGCAAAATAAAAAGAACAAGGGCCTAGCGTGTGCAAAATAAAAAGAGCAAGGGCCTAGCATGTGCAAACTTGAAAAAACAAGGGCCTAACGTGTGCAAAATTGCAAGAACAAGGGCCTAGCAAGTGCAAAATAGTAACAGCAAGGGCCTAGCGTGTGCAAAATTGCAAGAACAAGGGCCTAGCGAGTGCAAAATAGGAAGAGCAAGGGCCTAGCGTGCACAAAAAATCAAGAACAAGGGCATAGCGTGTGCAAAATAGCAAGAGCAAGGGCCTAGCGTGTGCAAAACAAAAACAACAAGGGCATAGCGTGTGCAAAATAGCAAGAACAAGGGCGTAGCGTGTGCAAATTAAAAAGAAGAAGGGCCTAGCGTGTGCAAAATCAAAACAACAAGGGTAAAGCATGTGCAAAATAACAAGAGCAAGGGCCTAGCGTGTCTAAAATAAAAAGAACAAGGGCATAGCGTGTGCAAAATAGCAAGAACAAGGGCCTAGCGTGTGCAAAATTAAAAGAACAAGGGCCTAGCGTGTGCAAAATAAAAAGAACAAGGGCCTAGCGTGTGCAAAATTGCAAGAACAAGGGCCTAACATGTGCAAAATTGCAAGAACAAGGGCCAAGCGAGTGCAAAATAGCAAGAGCAAGGGCCTAGTGTGTGCAAAAAATCAAGAACAAGGGCCTAGCGTTCGCGAAATAGCAAGAACAAGGGCCTTGCGTGTGCAAAATAAAAAGAACAAGGGTCTAGCATGTGCAAAATTGCAAGAACAAGGGCCTAGCATGTGCAAAATAAAAAGAACAAGGGCATAGCATGTGCAAAATAAAAAGAACAAGGGCATAACGTGTGCAAAATAAAAAGAACAAGGGCCTAGTGTGTGCAAAATAAAAAGAACAAGGGCCTAGCGTGTGCAAAATTGCAAGAACAAGGGCCTAGCGTGTGCAAAATTGCAAGAACAAGGGCCTAGCGAGTGCAAAATAGCAAGAGCAAGGGCCTAGCGTGTGCAAAAAATCAAGAACAAGGGCCTAGCGTTCGCGAAATTGCAAGAACAAGGGCCTAGCGTGTGCAAAATAAAAAGAACAATGATCTAGCATGTGCGAAATTGCAAGAACAAGAGCCTAGCGTGTGCAAAATAAAAAGAAGAAGGGCATAGCGTGTGCAAAATAGCAAGAACAAGGGCCTAGCGTGTGCAAAATAAAAAGAACAAGGGCCTAGCGTGTGCAAAAAAAAAAGAACAAGGGCCTAGCGTTTGCAAAATTGCAAGAACAAGGGCCTAGCATGTGCAAAATTGCAAGAACAAGGGCTTAGCGAGTGCAAAATAGCAAGAGCAAGGGCCTAGCATGTGCACAAAATCAAGAACAAGGGCCTAGCGTTCGCGAAATATCAAGAACAAGGGCCTAGCGTGTGCAAAATAAAAAGAACAAGGGTCTAGCATGTGCAAAATTGCAAGAACAGGGGCCCAGCGTGTGCAAATTAAAAAGAACAAGGGCATAGAGTGTGCAAAATAGCAAGAACAAGGGCCTAGCGAGTGCAAAATAGGAAGAGCAAGGGCCTAGCGTGCGCAAAATAGCAAGAACAAGGGCCTAGCTTGTGCAAAATAAAAAGAACAAGGGTCTAGCATGTGCAAAATTGCAAGAACAAGGGCCTAGCGTGTGCAAAATAAAAAGAACAAGGGCATAGCGTGTGCAAAATAGCAAGAACAAGGGCCTAGCATGTGCAAAATATAAGAACAAGGGCCTAGCGTGTGCAAAATAAAAAGAACAAGGGCCTAGCGTGTGCAAAATTGCAAGAACAAGGGCCTAACGTGTGCAAAATTGCAAGAACAAGGGCCTAGCGAGTGCAAAATAGCAAGAGCAAGGGCCTAGCGTGTGCAAAAAAACAAGAACAAGGGCCTTGTGTTCGCGAAATAGCAAGAAAAAGGGCCTAGCGTGTGCAAAATAAAAAGAACAAGGGTCTAGCATGTGCAAAATTGCAAGACCAAGGGCCTAGCGTGTGCAAAATAAAAAGAACAAGGGCATAGCGTGTGCAAAATAAAAAGAACAAGGGCCTAGCGTGTGCAAAATAAAAAGAACAAGGGCCTAGCGTGTGCAAAATTGCAAGAACAAAGGCCTAGCGTGTGCAAAATTGCAAGAACAAGGGCCTAGGGAGTGCAAAATAGCAAGAGCAAGGGCCTAGCGTGTGCAAAAAATCAAGAACAAGGGCATAGCGTTCGCCAAATAGCAAGAACAAGGGCCTAGCTTGTGCAAAATAAAAAGAACAAGGGTCTAGCATGTGCAAAATTGCAAGAACAAGGGCCTAGCGTGTGCAAAATAAAAAGAACAAGGGCATAGCGTGTGCAAAATAGCAAGAACAAGGGCCTAGCATGTGCAAAATATAAGAACAAGGGCCTAGCTTGTGCAAAATAAAAAGAACAAGGGCCTAGCGTGTGCAAAATTGCAAGAACAAGGGCCTAATGTGTGCAAAATTGCAAGAACAAGGGCCTAGCGAGTGCAAAATAGCAAGAGCAAGGGCCTAGCGTGTGCAAAAAAACAAGAACAAGGGCCTTGTGTTCGCGAAATAGCAAGAAAAAGGGCCTAGCGTGTGCAAAATAAAAAGAACAAGGGTCTAGCATGTGCAAAATTGCAAGAACAAGGGCCTAGCGTGTGCAAAATAAAAAGAACAATGGCATAGCGTGTGCAAAATAAAAAGAACAAGGGCCTAGCGTGTGCAAAATAAAAAGAACAAGGGCCTAGCGTGTGCAACATTGCAAAAACAAAGGCCTAGCGTGTGCAAAATTGCAAGAACAAGGGCCTAGCGAGTGCAAAATAGCAAGAGCAAGGGCCTAGTGTGTGCAAAAAATCAAGAACAAGGGCCTAGCGTTCGCGAAATAGCAAGAGCAAGGGCCTAGCGTGTGCAAAATAAAAAGAACAAGGGTCTACCATGTGCAAAATTGCAAGAACAAGGGCCTAGCGCGTGCAAAATAAATAGAACAAGGGCATAGCATGTGCAAGATAGCAAGAACAAGGGCCTAGCTTGTGCAAACTAAAAAGAACAAGGGCCAAGCGTGTGCAAAATAAAACGAAGAAGGGCCTTGCGTGTGCAAAATTGCAAGAACAAGGGCCTAGCGTGTGCAAAATTCCAAGAACAAGGGCCTAGCGAGTGCAAAATAGCAAGAGCAAGGTCCTTGCGTGTGCAAAAAATCAAGAACAAGGGCCTAGCGTTCGCGAAATAGCAAGAACAAGGGCCTAGCGTGTGCAAAATAAAAAGAACAAGGGTCTAGCATATGAGAGTAAGAGAACAGGGACGAATGAACTAGCAGTGAAATGAGTACAAGTAGGAAACCCTAGAATTGTGTACCCCCTATAGGCTAACCCACTGTAGCCTACACAAGCATAACATATATGATGTTTGACACACCCCCATAGGCAAAGTGGGGGAGAACAAGGGGTCACAAGACCAGTCAAGCAAAACAAAGCAAGCTCAGGGTGGATCACAAAGTCACCACACAGTCCGAGCACAAGAGCAGGGCCAGAGGCCAGTTCACATGCAGGAGTACAGACATATATATAAAACTAGACAAGCAAGAGCAGGTATATATATATGTCACAGTACAAGTGAAGTCAAGAGGAGAGCAAGTGAGGCAAGAGAGGCACAAGACCCAGCTGGGTGCAAAAGCGCTGATGGTCACAAGGCGCGAGTGCCTTGGTGAACACAAGTCGCAACTGACCACGCTGCTGCAGCTTACGAGCAAGGAAGTAGCGGAGAGCAATGTGCTTCGTTCTGTGCTCCAAGCGCTGCTCTCGACACAAGGCCAGCATGGCCTTGTTGTCTACGTACAGCACTGGAGGAGAACGAGGCGGCTCTCCAAGGTCACTCAGCAGGTAGGTGAGCCAGCGAAGCTCCTGTGCAGCCATGGCCCCGGCGTAGATCTAAGCCTCACAACTGGAGCCGAGAACCGAAGACGAGCGAGTAGACCGCCACGAGACAGAGCCGGAACCAAGGCTGAAGGTGTAACCCTGTTACGACCGCTGCGTAGCCTGGTCGTCAGCCCAAGAAGCGTCCGCATGGCCTGTAAGGACCACTGGACTCCGCCCTCCAAGCACTAGCTCCATGCCCGACGTACTGCACAGGTAGCGCAATACCCTCTTCGCTGCAGCCATGTGCTCTGGTCGGTGTCTCCCAGGAGCAACATAGCGTGCAAGGATGCTCAGAGGGTATGCAAGGTCAGGTCGTGTGGAGGTCATCAGGTACATGAGGCAGCCAACAAGCTCTGCATACGGACCACTCGACTCTACGGACTCATCCGAAGGCAGAGCTGAGAGTGAGTGGCGAGTAGGCAGAGGAGTGGCCTGAGGCGAGGAGTACGTGAAGCCGAAGCGCTGAAGGACCTGCTGCACCATGTGTGACTGAGTCAAGGTGATGGTGCGGCGTGCTCTGTCCCGAGTGATCTGCAAGCCAAGGTAGCTGCGCAGTTCACCCAGGTCTGTGCACGTGTGTCTCTTCAGCAGCTCGGACTTCACGTAGGCGAGTCCAGCAGTGTCCGCTGTGGCAAAGACCAAGTCGTCGACGTACACGAGGATGTAGAACGGCGGCAGGGAAGTGTCGGTGCGAAGAAACAGCGACGGGTCAGCAGTAGAAGGAGCAAACCCAAGAGCCGCAAGCGTAGTCCTCAGTGTGTCGTGCCACTCACGCGGTGCCTGGCGGAGACCGTAGACTGGCCGTCGGAGGCTCCACTGGGTGCCAGGAGGGAAAGTCCCAGTGAAGCCAGGCGGACGGCGCAGCCAGATCTCCTCGTGCAGGCTACCCTGCAGGAACGCAGTGCTGAAGTCGAGAGAGTGAAGCTCGCAGTCGCGCTGAGCGGCTATGTGCAGCAGCACCCGAAGAGTAGTCATCTTCGGGGTGGGAGAGAAGGTCTGAAAGTAGTCAACTCCCTGCCGCTGACTGAAGCCACGAGCAACGTACCGTGCCTTGAAGACAGGTGGAGAGCCCGTCGGCCGCTTCACCCTGAAGATCCACATGCCACAGACAATGTTCGCCCCAGGAGGGGGAACCGCGTCAACATAGGTGCCTGTGGACTTCCAGGAAGCCATCTCTGCATCCATAGCTGCCTGCCACTGAGAGGAGTAGGGACCCTCTACGGCCTCCGCGTAAGAACGCGGAGTCGAGATGTCTAGTGCATCCGGGTCTCCCTCAGGGGCAAGCAGTACAGACGCGAGATGAGGTGAAGCAGCCGCTAGACACTGTAACTCCTCCTGCCTGTCCTCTGGGACGTCCGTGCCAAGAGCACACTCACCCCCGACGGACGGAGGACAGGCAGACGCAGACCCAGCAACAAGACTAGCAGCGTAGTCGAGACGACAGCGAGCAGCAAAGTCGACGAGCTCAGCGACTAGAGCAGACGCAGCAGTGGACTCAAAAGATGGGTCAGTGACGACAGTAGCAAGCAGACGCGTGACAGTAGGACTGGCAGCACGAAGAGAGTCCGACTCAGGGTCGGCAAGCGCAGGAAGAGAAGACTCAGGAGAAGAAGGCAAAGGGGCACGCACAGGAGCAGTGGACGGACGCAAAGACATCCGGTGCGTACCAGGGACAGGAGGAGGACGCTGACGCGAACTACGACCACTAGCGCGAGCAGTACGAACAGTCGACGCGGGACGAGATGCAGGCTCACGACGCTCAGCAAGACCTCCAGTAGGACCAGTGTAAGGAGAGGGAGCAGGCAGTGGAGAGGAAGGGTCCAGCAGGGACTGCGACTGGACAGGCGGTGGACCCTCTACTGGAGGAGAAAGACCAAGAACCTGCTGCAGGAGCGGAACGAAGTACGGCCGAGGCCGCGCGGCAGCTCCTGACGCAGCAGGGACAGCACCAGCACCCTCAGCGACAGCACCAGCGCCACCAACACCTCCAGTGGCAGGACCAACAGCAGGAGTCTCAGCACCAACACCCTCAGCAGCTCCAGCTCCAGGAGGACCCGCAGGCCCAGCAGCTCCGGGATCGGCAGCACCAGCACCCTCGACTGTCGAAGAAGCTCCAGCTCCAGCTCCAGCAGCACCCCCAGACTCAGCAGCACGCCTCCAGCGGCGAGCGAACCACTCGCGCAGCTCCTGTGGAGAGAGGGGCTCCCGGCGAGGCGCAGCAGTAGGAGACACCCCAGGCTCGGCAGCTCCAGACGCAGCACCCCCAGGCTCAGCAACTCCCAGCTCAGCACCCCCGGGCTCAGCAGCTCCCGACCCAGAACCCCCAGACCCAGCACCTCCAGGCACAGCATCCCCCGGCTCAGCACCCCAAGGCTCCACACCCTCCGCAGTAGCACCCCCAGGCCCAGCACCCCCAGCAGTAGCACCCCCAGGCTCAGCACCCCCGCGAACAGCACCCCCAGAGTCAGCACCCCCAGGCTCAGCACCCGCAGCAGCACCAGAGTCACCAGTAACCTCGACCGGGTCAACGGCGTCTACCTGGGACACACCTGAGGGGGCAGGAACCTGAGGGGGGAGGGGGTCTACCGGGGGAGGAACCGGCACAAGGAAGTCCGAAGGAGGGGGGAGGGAAGGAGTGGGGTAGGGGAAGAGACGGTAGAAGGGGACTGACTCGTCGAAGGTGACGTCCTGGGAGGACAGAACACGACGAGAGGAGGGGTGGTAAAACTGCCACCCTGGGGCGTCAGTGGGGAAGCCAAGGAAGACACAGGGAGCAGCACGAGGGGACAGCTTGTCCGCAGACAAGTCGCGGACAAACGCCCGAGATCCCCAGACACGGAACGCAGACGCATCGCCAACCTTCCCCGTATACAGCAAGGCTGGGGACATCGCAGGCCGAGAGACCCGGGGGTGAAGGTTGAGCTGATGCGCCGCGTACCTCACCGCAAACGGCCACAGAAAATGGGGGGCAGCCGCATGCATCATGGACGTACGAGCGACATCCATGACCATGCCAATGCGGCGCTCAGCAATCCCATTTTGCTGTGGTGAGTCCGGAAGCGTGAAGGTCTGGCGGATCCCCCGTGCACGTCAGTAGTCTCGCAGAAGGCGAGAGGAGAACTCTCCGCCTCTGTCCGAGTGCAGACGCAGAACAGGAAAGTCCGAGCCAAAGCTCTTCCTGAGCTGGAGACGAGCCTCGCGGATCCAGTCGATCAGCACCTCAGTGACCGCACCCTTGCTGCGCAAGGGGAGGACTGTGGTGTAACGCGAGTAGTCGTCAACCACCAACAGGAAGTAGCGCTTGTGACCCTGCCCACGGACGGGGGCTGGGCCCCACACATCCATGTGAAGCGTCTGCAGGGGAGCCTCTGTCGGGGGGAAGTGGGAGGAGCGAGGAGTAGCCCGGAGGCGACCCTCGACACAGGGGACACAGGAAGGTCATGGCCCGGAGGGGAGAGGAGGGAGAGACTGGGGAAGACCAGAGACAAGGACACGCGAGGCCATGCTCCGAAGCCGGGGCAAGGAGGGGTGGCCAAGACGGTGGTGCCACAGGAGAGTCTCGTGAGACAGGAGGCGACAAGAACAGGGGGCAGACTCAGGACCTGACCGGGACGCAGCAGCAAGCACCTGACCTGACGCAGCTACCTGACCGGACGCAGGGAAAGGATGAGACGAAGTGGTCAGGGTGTAGAGACTCGACCCCGGCCGACGCGAGAAGGTGGCCAGGTGTTGGCCTGTGCGTGCGTCCGTGCAGTGGGTCACCCGCTGACTCGCATGAGTGAACTGGTGAACCCCCGCATCCTACAGGGCTGCACCACTCACCAAGTTCGTAGAGAACGAGGGAAGGTACAGCCCAGACAGGGCGCCCGAAGGGGCAGCCGGACACGGGAGGACAGTGGAGAAGTGAGACAGGACTGGACCCCCAGAGGGGTCAGCAAGGGAGACCGCAACCGGCCGGCCGAGCGGCGTAAGGGTAGTGCGGTCTCGAAAGAAAGAGCGAGAAGCCCCGGAGTCAAGTGTGAAAGTGAGGGAGGACGAGGGCGATGCAGTACCTGAGAGCGCAGTCTCACCAGTACCTGAGAGCGCAGACGCACTGGCACCTAGAGCAGCAGCCTCACAAGCACCTAGCGCAGCAGTACCAATGCCCGGGTCGGGCTGGAAACACCGGTAACCCTCATTCTCCTCACTATAAGTCACAGCATACATAGCAGCAAGGATAGCATCAAAATCAAGATCAAAGATCGCTACACCAGCCCTAAGAAGCTCATCCCAGCGAGGGATCTCACTAGCCCCGGGGAACTGCTGACGCCAAGCGTCCGTCAGGCGGCCAAAGCAGCGCTGGGTGGCGTGGGCACCCCCACACTGCTCACCCGCGCGGTCGCCGGAACGAAGAACGTAGGTGCAGGGACCAGTACCCCCACCCCTCTGACGCCCAGCGTACCACTCACGAAGCTGCTGAGGCGAAGGGATGTCCCGCGAGCGCTGCTACTGCTGCCGCTGCGAGCGCTGGCCACCACCACCGCCGCTACGCTGCTGGGTACCTCGACCAGCTCCACCTCCTCCACCACCACCGCCTCCTCCGCTGCCGCCTCCACCGCCTCCACCTCCGCCGCCTCCACCTCCGCCGCTGCCTCCACCACCACTGCTGCCACCACCACCACCGTCTCCGCCGCTGCTGCCACTACCACCACCACCCCCGCCACTAGTCCCGCCGCCACCCCCACTCCCTCCGCCGCCACCGCCGCCACCGCCACCGCCCCCTCCAGCTCCACCCGCACCCTTGCCTCCCTTGCCCTTGCTGGAGCGACGTCTCCCACTAGGGGCAGACGCCGCGCCGACCGACTCAAGACCAAGCAGGTCGGCAGCAGCAGCAGAGGCAACAGAGGGCAGCAAGTGGGAAGGAGAGCACCCCTCAAAGACGGGGGTGCGAGGGTCACCACGAGAAGCACCTACAGCGACTATGCTCTTCTCCGCTGCGAGGAGGGCCTTCTCGAGGAGGTCGACGGTGAGGGTGGTGGGACAGACTGCGAGAAAGTGGTCCGTGACTACGCGAAGGGAGTCAGGGAGGCGCGCAACTACGTAGTAGAGAGCGATGTACATGGGGGGTGGGTTCTTAGCGCAGAACTCAGCAGGAAGGGCGGCGCGGTAGCGAGTGTCACTAGTGCGGAGGTGCGTAATGAGGTCAGCGACAGTGGGAAAGGTAGAGAGGTCAGGAAAGAGGTAGGGAAGCATGAGACGGCTCAGTGCAGCAGTGGCAGGGGAGGAGTAGCGCGCAACTACAGCGTCGTACAAGGTCTGAGCACTCTTGTACTGACTAAAGTGCGCACGCTCAGAGGTAGGGAGGTGGCGACGCACAGCAAGACGTGCAGCAGCATCGCGGGTGGCCCACTGAGAGCGGACAGTGGGATCAGCATCAGCATCAGGAGCAGGAGAGGCGCCAGAGGTGAGGTCAAAGAGAGAAAGGCCGTCAGCCCTGTCGCACTGTAAGAACAGCTGCAGGTCGTCTAACCAGACCTCAAAATCAATGGCGCGACCCTCAGCGTCAAAAGCTAGGACACTAGGGGTAGCCATGGCGACGACAGCGAAGCAGTGCAAGCAGTAGGGGAAGAGCACGCAGTGACAGTGGGACTGTGCTCACCAGGCAGGGCAGGAAGTGCAGCTCTGCAGAAAGGCGGCTCGGCTCCCGGGCGGCTCGGCGGCAGGGCGGCTCGGGTGCAGGGCGGCTCGGCTCCCGGGCGGCTCGGCGGCAGGGGGGCTCGAGTGCAGGGCGGCTCGGCTCCCGGGCGGCTCGGCGGCAGGGCGGCTCGGGTGCAGGGCGGCTCGGCTCCCGGGCGGCTCGGCGACAGGGCGGCTCGGGCGCAGGGCGGCTCGGCTGCACTGCTGCCCGACTGCTGCAGGTGGGGCGGCGGGGCCGCGTGAGAGAACTGGGGCGGGGCTGCGTGAGAGCCGGCGGCAGGGCCGCGTGAGGGCCGGCGGCGGGGCCGCGTGAGAGCCGGGGCGGGGCCGCTGCAGAGCTGACGGCGGGGCCGCTTAAGAGCCGGGGCAGGGGCCGCGTCAGGGCCGGCGGCGGGGCCGTAAGAGAGCCGGCGGAGGGGCCGTGGGAGGGACGGCGGCGGGGCCGCGTAAGAGCCGGGACGGGGCCACGATCAGGAGGCGGCGGCGGGGCCGCTTAAGAGCCGGCGGCGGGGCCGTGGGAGGGCCGGCGGCGGGGCCGCGTAAGAGCCGGGACGGGGCCGCGATCAGGAGGCGGCTGCGGGGCCGCGTCAGAGCCGGCGGGGGGGCCTCGTCGGGGCGGGCGGCGGGGCCGCGTTGGAGCCGGCGGCGAGGCCGGCTAAGAGCCAGCGGCGGGGCCGCTGAGGAGCCGACGGTGGGGCCGCGTCAGAGCCGGCAGCGGGGCCTCGTCGATGCGGGCGGCGGGGCCGCGTTGGAGCCGGCGGCGAGGCCGGCTAAGAGCCGGCGGCGGGGCCGCGTAGGAGCCGACGGCGGGGCCGCGTCAGGGCCGGCGGCGGGCCGCGATCAGCGGGCGGCGGGGCCGCGTCAGAGCCGGCGGCGGGGCCGCTTCAGTGGAGGCGGCGGGGCCGCGTCAGAAGAGGCGGCGGGGCCGCGTCAGAGGAGGCGGCGGAGCCGCGTCAAGCAGGGGTGGCGGGGCCGCGTCAGAGGGACAGCGGGACCGCGAGAGCAAAGGCGACCCGAAGGGTCGCGAAAAAAATGCGCGCCTCGGGGCGCGCTTCGGTGGGCCCTAAAAAAACGGTCCTTAGGAAGGACCCGCTCTATACCATATGAGAGTAAGAGAACCGGGACGAATGAACTAGCAGTGAAATGAGTACAAGTAGGAAACCCTAGAATTGTGTACCCCCTATAGGCTAACCCACTGTAGCCTACACAAGCATAACATATATGATGTTTGACATAGCATGTGCAAAATTGCAAGAACAAGGGCCTAGCGTGTGCAAAATAAAAAGAACAAGAGCATAGCGTGTGCAAAATAGCAAGAACAAGGGCCTAGCGTGTGCAAAATAAAAAGAACAAGGGCCTAGCGTGTGCAAAATTGCAAAAACAAGGGCCTAACGTGTGCAAAATTGCAAGAACAAGGGCCTAGCTTGTGCAAAATAGCAAGAGCAAGGGCCTAGCGTGTGCAAAATTGCAAGAACAAGGGCCTAGCGAGTGCAAAATAGGAAGAGCAAGGGCCTAGCGTGCGCAAAAAATCAAGAACAAGGGCATAGCGTTCGCAAAATAGCAAGAGAAAGGGCCTAGCGTGTGCGAAATAAAAAGAACAAGGGCATAGCTTGTGCAAAATAGCAAGAGCACGGGCCTAGCGTATGCAAAATAAAAAGAACAAGGGCATAGCGTGTGCAAAATACCAAGAACAAGGGCCTAGCGTGTGCAAATTAAAAAGACCAAGGGCCTAGCGTGTGCAAAATAAAAACAACAAGGGTCTAGCATGTGCAAAATAGCAAGAGCAAGGGTCTAGCGTGTGCAAAATAAAAAGAACAAGGGCATAGCGTGTGCAAAATAGCAAGAACAAGGGCCTAGCATGTGCAAAATAAAAAGAACAAGGGCCTAGCGTGTGCAAAATAAAAAGAACAAGGGCCTAGCGTGTGCAAAATAAAAAGAACAAGGGTCTAGCATGTGCAAAATAGCAAGAGCAAGGGCCTAGCGTGTGTAAAAAAAAAAGAACAAGGGCATAGCGTGTGCAAAATAGCAAGAACAAGGGCCTAGCGTGTGCAAAATTTCAAGAACAAGGGCCTAGCGTGTGGAAAATTGTAAGAACAAGGGAGTAACGAGTGCAAAATAGCAAGAGCAAGGGCCTAGCATGTTCAAAAAATCAAGAACAAGGGCCTAGCGTTCACAAAATAGCAAGAACAAGGGCCTAGCGTGTGCAAAATAAAAAGAACAAGGGCCTAGCGTGTGCAAAATAAAAAGAACAAGGGCCTAGCGTGTGCAAAATTGCAAGAACAAGGGCCTAGCGTGTGCAAAGTTGCAAGAAGAAGGGCCTAGCGAGTGCAAAATAGCAAGAGCAAGGGCCTAGCGTGTGCAAAAAAACAAGAAAAAGGGCCTAGCGTTCGCGAAATAGCAAGAGCAAGGGCCTAGCGTGTGCAAAATAAAAAGAACAAGAGTCTAGCATGTGCAAAATTGCAAGAACAAGGGCCTAGCGTGTGCAAAATTGCAAGAACAAGGGCCTAGCGAGTGCAAAATTGCAAGAGCAAGGGCCTAGCGTGTGCAAAAAATCAAGAACAAGGGCCTAGCGTTCGCGAAATAGCAAGAGCAAGGGCCTAGCGTGTGCAAAATAAAAAGGACAAGGGTCTAGCATGTGCAAAATTGCAAGAACAAGGGCCTAGCGTGTGCAAAATAAAAAGAACAAGGGCATAGCGTATGCAAGATAGCAAGAACAAGGGCCTAGCTTATGCAACATAAAAAGAACAAGGGCCTAGCGTGTGCAAAATAAAAAGAAGAAGGGCCTAGTGTATGCAAAATTGCAAGAACAAGGGCCTAGCATGTGCAAAATTGCAAGAACAAGGGCCTATCGAGTGCAAAATAGCAAGAGCAAGGGCCTACGTGTGCAAAAAATCAAGATCAAGGGCCTAGCGTTCGCGAAATAGCAAGAACAAGGGCCTAGCGTGTGCAAAATAAAAAGAACAAGGGTCTAGCATTTGCAAAATTGCAAGAACAAGGGCCTAGCGTGTGCAAAATAAAAAAAACAAGGGCATAGCGTGTGCAAAATAGCAAGAACAAGGGCCTAGCGTGTGCAAAATAAAAAGAACAAGGGCATAGCGTGTGCAAAATAGCAAGAACAAGGGCCTAGCGTGTGCAAAATAAAAAGAACAAGGGCCTAGCGTGTGCAAAATAAAAAGAGCAAGGGCCTAGCGTGTGCAAACTTGAAAAAACAAGGGCCTAACGTGTTCAAAATTGCAAGGACAAGGGCCTCGCAAGTGCAAAATAGTAAGAGCAAGGGCCTAGCGTGTGCAAAATTGCAAGAACAAGGGCCTAGCGAGTGCAAAATAGGAAGAGCAAGGGCCTAGCGTGCGCAAAAAATCAAGAACAAGAGCATAGCGTTCGCGAAATAGCAAGCGCAAGGGCCTAGCGTGTGCGAAATAAAAAGAACAAGGGCATAGCGTGTGCAAAATAGCAAGAGCAAGGGCCTAGCGTGTGCAAAACAAAAACAACAAGGGCATAGCGTGTGCAAAATAGCAAGAACAAGGGCCTAGCGTGTGCAAATTAAAAACAACAAGGGTCTAGCATGTGCAAAATAGCAAGAGCAAGGGCCTAGCGTGTGCAAAATAAAAAGAACAAGGGCATAGCGTGTGCAAAATAGCAAGAACAAGGGCCTAGCGTGTGCAAAATTAAAAGAACAAGGGCCTAGCATGTGCAAAATAAAAAGAACAAGGGCCTAGCGTGTGCAAAATTGCAAGAACAAGGGCCTAATGTGTGCAAAATTGCAAGAACAAGGGCCTAGCGAGTGCAAAATAGCAAGAGCAAGGGCCTAGTGTGTGCAAAAAATCAAGAACAAGGGCCTAGCATTCGCGAAATAGCAAGAACAAGGGCCTTGCGTGTGCAAAATAAAAAGAACAAGGGTCTAGCATGTGCAAAATTGCAAGAACAAGGGCCTAGCATGTGCAAAATAAAAAGAACAAGGGCATAGCGTGTGCAAAATAAAAAGAACAAGGGCATAGCGTGTGCAAAATAAAAAGAACAAGGGCCTAGCGTGTGCAAAATAAAAAGAACAAGGGCCTAGCGTGTGCAAAATTGCAAGAACAAGGGCCTTGCGAGTGCAAAATAGCCAGAGCAAGGGCCTAGCGTGTGCAAAAAATCAAGAACAAGGGCCTAGCATTCGCGAAATTGCAAGAACAAGGGCCTAGCGTGTGCAAAATAAAAAGAACAATGGTCTAGCATGTGCAAAATTGCAAGAACAAGGGCCTAGCGTGTGCAAAATAAAAAGAACAAGGGCATAGCGTGTGCAAAATAGCAAGAACAAGGGCCTAGCATGTGCAAAATAAAAACAACAAGGGCCTAGCGTGTGCAAACTAAAAAGAACAAGGGCCTAGCGTTTGCAAAATTGCAAGAACAAGGGCCTAGCATGTGCAAAATTGCAAGAACAAGGGCTTAGCGAGTGCAAAATAGCAAGAGCAAGGGCCTAGCGTGTGCACAAAATCAAGAACAAGGGCCTAGCGTTCGCGAAATATCAAGAACAAGGGCCTAGCGTGTGCAAAATAAAAAGAACAAGGATCTAGCATGTGCAAAATTGCAAGAACAAGGGCCTAGCGTGTGCAAAATAAAAAGAACAAGGGCATAGCGTGTGCAAAATAGCAAGAACAAGGGCCTAGCGTGTGCAAAATAAAAAGAACAAGGGCCTAGCGTGTGCAAAATAAAAAGAACAAGGATCTAGCGTGTGCAAAATTGCAAGAACAAAGGCCTAACGTGTGCAAAATTGCAAGAACAAGGGCCTAGCGAGTGCAAAATAGCAAGAGCAAGGGCCTAGCGTGTGCAAAAAATCAAGAACAAGGGCCTAGCGTTCGCGAAATAGCAAGAACAAGGGCCTAGCGTGTGCAAAATAAAAAGAACAAGGGTCTAGCATGTGCAAAATTGCAAGAGCAAGGGCCTAGCATGTGCAAAATAAAAAGAACAAGGGCGTAGCGTGTGCAAAATAAAAAGAACAAGGGCATAGCGTGTGCAAAATAAAAAGAACAAGGGCCTAGCGTGTGCAAAATAAAAAGAACAAGGGCCTAGCGTGTGCAAAATTGCAAGAACAAGGGCCTAGCGTGTGCAAAATTGCAAGAACAAGGGCCTAGTGAGTGTAAAATAGCAGGAGCAAGGGCCTAGCGTGTGCAATAAATCAAGAACAAGTGCCTAGCGTTTGCGAAATTGCAAGAACAAGGGCCTAGCGTGTGTAAAATAAAAAAAACAAGGGTCTAGCATGTGCA